AATATTATGAAAAAATGGTTTCAAATGTTATAAGGTGAAAAAAGTGCATCTCTTAAAGAAGGAAGATAAACCAAAGAGATTAGGGTTTTGTAGGTAGTGACAAGAAAGAAAGAGGGAAGATCCTTTTATATGCAGAAGAATTCTCTGGTCAGATGTGTTTCATTTTTGTAACAATGGATTTTTTGATGTACTAAGGGTAATTTAAATTGGCACGGAGGAACTGCATTTCAGCAAAGGTTCTCAGTAAACGTTTGGATTAGAATTGTTGATGCCAAAATCATAGGATCTTACTTCTATGATAGTAAATTGATGGGTGTCAGATATACAGATTCTTTGCTTAACAGAAGTACATTATATTCATTAAATTTTTTGTAGTTGGCATGTTTAAAACAATTTCTACATTAATCTACATTTTTGATACCAAAATTATAAAAAATGTAATAAATATAAAAGATAAAGGCGACATGTAGTACATCGCATGAAAGAGGAAAACACAAGCAATTTTTTGTATCAACAAAATGCTTCGATGACATTTTTTTTATCCACGTAGAGGTCACAGCAAATTACGTATGATACTTCAAAAATTTGTTTACACCATGTGAAAGATATCAATTTTGCCATGAAATTTTATTAAAATAAGTTTTCTCTATCTCTTAAAATAAGAAAGTTGGACAGCCCTAAACTTTCTATACTTTTCCGGTTTTTTTATGATTACTCATAAAGTTGGACATGGATCTCAAATTTGTTTTTACGAGCCTCAAAAAATGTAACAAAAAAACAAAGAATTTTGACGTGCATCGTGTATTAAGTGAGATCGATTTATGTATCGGAGTGGTCCTCTTATAGTAGACAGCCTGTATATTCACTTCTTCCTGACAGACCATAAAGGATTTTTCTGCTTTCCTATCTTCTGTTTATTTTTTCATTATCTTTCCGTTTGTCAAAAATAGTATATCCATGTGCTTTTTTTTGTTCTTTGTTTGTTACTGTTTATACTGGGTGTAACAAAAAAGGTGGGCTGGCTATACATAGCCATATTGTACTCATCAAGACGATAAAAAAAGTTTATATACACATCTGCTCTAAAATGCTTCGTTTCTGAGTTATGGACACTTTAAGTTTTTAGTTTCCTATAGTTCTGGCACAGTAAGAGTAACAGACCATTATCAAGTAATCCAAGATTATAATTGCGGTTGGTGTCATGGTGACAGTTAAGTATCTGACTCTATTAATAAATTTTTTTGTAATTAATTTTACTCACTGAAAATGGATTATTCCTTTGAAGAAATGTCAAGCATGCATTTGATGTATGGGTTGGCATACTGCAATAGGGCTGAAGCAAGACGACTTTACGCAGAGCATTTTCCGCACCGACGTTTACCCAATGAAAAAACCTTTGAAAGGCTACATAATAGGTTAAGGGAAACAGGATCTTTCAAACCGCGAGCCCGAGATCGCGGTAGACCACGAACTGCAAGAACATTGCGCTTGGAAGAACGTGTGTTGCATCGTGTTGAGGAAGAAGCAGGTGACGGTACTCGAAGAATTGCATTAAGAAAAGGAGTTGATCATACGACCGTGTGGCGGGTTTTAAAGACCAATAATCTTTATGCGTATCACCTAGAACGGATACAAGGACTGAGTGAACTTGACTTCCCAGCACGAGAAGCCTTTTGTGTTTGGCTATTGGAAACTTGTGCCAACGACCCTCTCTTTTTGCCTTCCTTATTATTCACAGATGAATCTGGCTTCACAAGAGATGGTATCTTCAATTTTCGTAATGTGCATCTATGGCATGAAGAAAATCCGCATGCCATTATTCAATCTAGACATCAACATCAATTTTCAATTAATGTTTGGGCAGGCATCATTGGTGATTTCTTGATAGGCCTTTTTGTTCTTCCCGGACGACTTAATGGTCAAAATTATCGTAATTTCTTAGAAAACGATCTACCAAACATGTTGGAGGATGTTCCACTGAATTTTAGAGCACGCATATGGTTCATGCATGATGGGGTGCCGGCTCATTTCAGTCTCATAGCACGTGAATTTTTAAACGAAGCATATCCTGGAAGGTGGATTGGCCGGGCAGGACCTATAGCGTGGCCTGCATGTTCCCCGGATCTAAATCCCCTTGATTTCTTCGTATGGGGTCATCTAAAATCAATGGTGTATTCTACTCCAGTTCAGGATATCGAGGATCTTCGGCAGATAGTAGAAAACGGATGCCAGAGAATTCGGAACACACCAGGAATTTTTGAGCGAGTGAGGCAGTCCATGACAAGACGAGCTCAACAATGCATTGGTGTTCATGGAGGTCATTTTGAACATCTCCTTTAAGTTCATTTACTGTTGTTGTAGTTTTCATTATTTGTTACTCATTTAAAATAAATAAAAAAACGTTATTTATCAGACCAAGATTAAAGTGTCCATAACTCAGAAACGAATCATTTTAGAGCAATATGGCTATGTATAGCCAGCCCACCTTTTTTGTTACACCCTGTATATGTATACACATCACATAAGGTTACTTTTATTCATTGGAAACTGTGTTTTTTTTAAACATAATTCACTGTGCAGATTGTATTTTGTTGTTTTTATTGTAATTTTATAGTTATCTACACATATTTTTGTCTTGTTCATTCTTTAACTGGTTTTCCTGCCCTTATAAAGAATCCCCTATCATAATAAAACCATTTGCAATATTTCTTTAACCTGTTACGCTACATTTTATTTCCAAATTTGTTTGATGTCTCAATTTTTTAAAAATTCCATTTATTTTGTAATACAATATAATATTTTTAGCTAAATTAATATTTCATAATTATTACATCTCAGCATTTAGGAGACACTTGATCAATTTAAATCATATATTGATATTTAATGGACACATACCTCAATATGAATGTGGCCGTTAAGGCAAAACATGATCAAGAAGTAATATTACTTATTTTCTTTCTAGGTCAAATAAAACCACCTAATAAAAAAGTTTCATTGGAAAAAGGTCAAATAACGCACCTAACAACCGACCCCGTTTATGAAGAACACGTTACGGAGGACATGATATTCGTAGACTATGAGAATCTCTCGTCAGTAATCCAACCAGGAGACAGAGTGATGCTAAACGATGGATCTGTAACACTTTCAGCCATCGAATGCGCGGAGAGCATTGTGAAGTGCATAGTTGAACGTGCAGGTGATATACTGAGTAGCTCTGCCGTGGTGGTACCAAATGTTCCCATGGAAACATATGAAGTTGCCGAGAATGACAAAGAACTGATTAAGAGTGGTATTAAGGAAAAAGTGGATTTCCTTTTCCTTTCCGGCATACGCAATAAGGATGGTGTAACGGATATCAAAGATTTGTTGGGCGACGCGGGGCAGTTTATTTCAATTATTACCAAAATAGAGAATTCGGTTGCTATAGAGAATATAGACAAAATTATTGAGGTGTCCGATGGGATATGCTTAGATTGTGACAGGTTGATGATGGAACTTCCGAAAGAAAAAGTTTTTTTGATACAGAAATCCATTACAGCCAAATGTAATTTAGCAGGTAAGATTTATATTTATAGTCAACGTTGAGGAAAAATTTTCGTTAAGGGTAGGTACAATTATGTTGGGGCGTATTTCCACATCCAAAAGAAACATCATGCGATAGAATTAGAAAAGTAGAGGGTCATTGATATAAAATTCAACTTGTTTATAACCAACTGTTACAAGAAATGTAAGGAGAACGGCGCTCAATCGTATTTGTACCATTGGTCTAGGCTAGAAAGCGGGTGTTTGGATACTACAGTAAGTCTACAAAGTCCCTTGTTCACATACCTGGACATAAGCGCCTTCGAAGTAACAAAAATCTTGACGAGTTAGCAAAAGTAGATCCATCTAGAGCCCTACGAGTGCTCAAAACCTATGATGCATTGCTAGTAAGGATTAAAACATGTATGGTTGTATGAAGAGTAGAGCATAACAATGGTGGTAAGAAACCCCCATACAGACGGAATCATATTATTAAAAAGATTGTCGAATGAGTTGATAGCAAAGTCACTGAACCGAAGTAGCGGATCAATGACAGTAAGACTGCTAACTGAATATTGCAAAATCTGAGTAATATCCGTCTGGTGTAAGATATCCTGTGTAATTTCTGCCAGGGAGAATAAGTTACTACAGCCCATAACGCGTGTGTAGAGGCATAGCAAGCTTCTGTTCATAAGAGGAAAATCGGAAGCTGAAAGCTATAAGAAAGATCCACTGCCAAAGCTTATATACCGGGAGATATTAGACTGAAGTTCGACGACGTCTTTCTCATTTATGCCTCTGAGAGTGCTGAAAGGTAACCGAGAGACAAGTACAATAAATTAAATTTAAAAGATGGGCTGCGGGACATCTTTGTGAAAATTCAATTTTCCTTTTCAAAAAAATAATGTGTACAGTGACGTATTTCCTATTCAAAAACTTTCTACTGAAT